GGGGGCCTGGCTGACTCAGTCAGAGAAACATGTGACTCTGCTCTCAGGGTCATGAGTTCAAGCCCCACGAGGGGGCATTGAGATTCCCTGAATAAATAAAACTTTAAAAAAAAAACCTACTTAGAAATAATAAGGATGAAAGGAAACTACTGTATACTCCTGAAACCAATATTACACTGTATGTTAACTAACTACAGTGTAAATAAAAAATGGATACAAAAAAAAAAAGGAAGGAGGAAACTACTATGTATCTATTACCTGAACTAGATCCGGAATTCTAGTTTCCTCAAGTGTCTGGCTACAACTCTCCGGGCTAACGTTTCTAATTTTCTCCCACCTTTCTGACTTGGAATCACCAAGAACAAAAGCTGCTCTTGAACCTCCCTGGAAGAACCCATAACCGGTCCTTCTCACTGCCAAGACCACAAACTTCAGGGACTTGAACTTGGGTCCACTTCTCCCCATGAAAAAGGGCTCCTCCAGACTCTTGGAACGGCATGCCAGCTGGAGATCTAAAATTCAAGTTGACTAGGGAGGTTCCTCCTCAGAAGCAGATGGCATCTTGAGGCGGACAGCTTCCCCAAGATCATGGATCAAGATCTCCAATCTGAACCTTTATTCCTTCTTCTTCTCCTTCTTCTTTATTCCTTCTGCCTTTCCACCACTTGCCTCTTCTCTCTCATAACGCACAGGAAAATAACACTCCTTCGCCAGGGCAACTATTGCTGAACTACTGCTCAGGCCATAGCTACACAATTAAGTCTCCAGATGTTCTTGCTAAGATGGTTTCAGGTAAGAGAACCGCTTTAGGTGACCTACGGGCTGAAAAAGGAGGAGCCGGCGCCACAGCAAATACTTCCTGCAGTACCTGGACCAACACTCTGGTCTCACAGCAAATACAATAAATTAACAAACCAGTCGCTTGGCTAAAACAGGCTGATGTCCCCTCTTTGACTTATCTGAGACCCATTGGCTCGTCTCATGGGAGCCCTGGCGAAGTCTCTCCATATTATCCTCCTCATAGTTGTCATTGTAATTCCCCTTATACGGTATGTTCACTCGGAAGTCTTTTTTTTTTTAAAGATTTTATTTATTTATTTGACAGAGAGATCACAAGCAGGCAGAGAGGCAGGCAGAGAGAGAGGGAAACAGGCTCCCCACTGGGCAGAGAGCCTGATGCGGGGCTCGATCCCAGGACGCTGAGATCAAAACCCAAGCCGAAGGCAGAGGCCTAACCCACTGAGCCCCCAGGCGCACCTCGAAAGTCTTAAGCGCATGTTCACAGCCATCAGCAGCACATCAGATGGTCCCACTGGGCTTGGAGAAACAGAAACAAGATGGACGAGATGAACAGCAGAAACATTTCTTCCACGGATCTGACAGCATCACCTATGCGGGTCACAGTGAGACGGCTGCAACTTAACTCTCATGATGACTGAGAGTGACGCTCATACCAACGTTTTGGTCATTCTCTCATGTAGAAGAAGAGGACCAAAATGGAGGAATTGTTAAATTAATTTAACAAGGAGGCTATTAGACTGAGGTAGCTCTAATGCTTTGGCAGCCTAAAACCTAAGCCTGTAAATGCCTCAAGGTCATGACATAAAACACTAAGGGTAACCAGTCACAAACAGCCAACCAGTCTTTACATGATAGCCTATCGAGAACCTCTTTATTTCTGCCTTTTCTTTAAAAAAAAAAAAAAAAAAAAAAAAACCCCCCTCTGGGCCCCTGACCCTGAAGTAAGTACTCCTCAGCACTTCCCATTGGCGTTTACGTGACTGCAGTTGATATCTGCTCACATTCTTAAAGATGTTTAATATGCTTCAGTTTATTATTTAACAGGAGAGACTTCCTCTCTGGAGCCTTTTCTGACACTCTCCCTCCTCCTGGGGAGATGTAAGCACCTGTCTGCTCCCTCTGACAGCATGCATGATGCTCACTGCTGGGCCCCTCCTGAAATGTCTCTTCTTTAAGGCCAAGGGTAATACTTGTATTCTGTTCTAGCTTGTGTGTCTAGCATCCAGAACACTGGAGGCTCAATAAAAATCTGTAGAACAGGGTGCCTGGCTGGCCTAGTGGGTAGAGCAGGTGACTCCTGATCTCAGGGTTGTGAGTTCAAGCCCCCGTGTTGGGCATAGAGATTACTTAAATATATATATATATATATATATATATATATTTTTTTTTTTTTTTCAGTGAATGAATGAGGTCAAGGAGAAATGACCAAGGGACGCCTAATATTAATGGCAAGCATGTACTCACCACTTATTATGTGCCAGGCACTACACAAACACATGTACACTGAGTAGATTTATTCCTAAAACAACCTGAGGAGGTTGGAGCCACTATTATCTTTAAATGTGAAGAAACTGCATCACAGAGAGACTAATCACTTGTCCAAGGTCACAAACGAGAAGTGACAAGTGTGGCACTGGATCACAGAGCCCTCTATGTTCTCTACCTTTGCACATAAGAGGGAAAGGGATGCTCGGCCCACATTAAAGATGGAGGCCTCTCTAGTGGTTCCCAATCCAGAGGAGGCCAGCAAGGGGTGCTGTCACTGGAGGCTTTTGCATTCTTGGACTGTTTAGGGGCAACAGAGGAAAAGGTGTGGCTCAAGCACATAAGAAGGGGTGGAAATGAAGAGAAACAAAAGAAAGCATCTAAAAGTCTTGCCCTGCAAGGTTAGAGTCTGGAAAGGAAATCTCCATTCTCCAACAAGAAAAATAAAAATGCTAATATTCTGATGTGGTTTAGCCATGACAGGCAATTCCTTGTGCCTTAGAGCTCCCCCTGCTATTTATGGGGAACATCACCATCAACAGCTCATTCCTCATAAGCCACAACCTGCAGAAGGATCACAGCTCCAGTTCCGGTTTCACCACTGTATTATTATCAAAGACACAGCTCACTATCTGTCCATCTTCCCCCAACCTGTCCCTCTCATGGCCCTTATTTTGCCCAATGGATCTATTGCTCACCCAACTCATTATGCCAGAAAATCTGGACGTCTCTCAACATTTCTCCTTCCCTTTCCCCTGTCAAGTCCAACTGGTCACTGAGTTTTGGGGATTCTATTTCATAAATCTGTTATCTGTTCATTCATTCACTGAACATTTATTGTGTGCCAGGACTATGCCGTGAACTGGATGAGATTCCCCGCAGCTCTGCCCTCCCAACTTCAAGGAACGGAGCATCTTATGGAGAGCACTTTGGAAACGAACAGCCCATTCTACTGCAGCATACCGTAAATGTAAGAAACAGGTAGGTAGAAGGCTGGAGGGAATATTGGAGGGGTATGTGATTCAGGTGGGGAAGCCTGAGGGTTTTTCTCCTGGCAATGTCCAAGCTGAAATGTGAAGGATGTATAGCAAGAAACCCAGTGAAAGGGAGCGCAAGCGCAAATTTCTGGCTGCAAGAATAGAGCACGACTTCAGAGCCGCCAAGGTGCTCTAGGCCGATCTTAATCCAGTCACTACACTACCCAAACGCTTTCCATCCCTCAGAACAAAGCAAAAAATTCGGCACCTTCTTTCCTGTCTCTGGAGGTTTGGCCTTGGTCTCCCAGCACTTGTCACTTGTTCATCAAGATCTCCTGAGCACCTCGTTGGTGCAGGTACCTCCTGGTACCAACTTCACAGTACTTTCCCCCTTGGGGGAATTTTCAACATATTGCAGCAGACCTTGACGGAGCAACTCGTGAGTGCGGGGTTTGAAAACCATGCCAAGACTTAAGATGTTAATGACTTGGTTAAGGACCTCACAGCCTCACTCCCAATGCTCACCCGCCGTCACTGGATGGCTCCAGGCCTGTCACCTGCTGGTCCCGGCCCAGGTATGCGCCAGGGCTTTCTTCGCTCCCCCACCACCCTTCGCCCACCTAGACCCGCCTTCAGCCGGACGTCCTCCTCGCGGAGCCACCCTCGGCGGCGCGCAGCTCTGCTAAGGTGGCCCGCGCGGCGCGGCCGGTGGTTGCTAGAGGGTGGCCGCCGCCTGGCCTCCCCGCCGCCACTGCCCACCCCCGGACAGACCCTCTCCTGGGTGCCCCCCAGCCCGGGCCGGAGAGCGCGCGCCCGGCCCGATGACCCCGCGGGCCCAGCCCGCGCCGGCCACCTTTCCCACGACCGCGGGAGGGGCCGTCCTGCCGGAAGACCGCGGCCACGGGCAGCATTCCCTGCCTGTCTTTGCGGAGCCCAGCAGGACTCGCGGACACGCGCCCCGGCGGGAGCGCGCCCGCCCCGCGACTCCCAGGTCTGGCCACCGCGCGGGGCGGGCCGAGGCGGGACTGAGGGCGGAGCGGCCGCAGCCTCCGCCATTCCCCGCTCCCTCCCCCCACCCCCGCCGCTGCGCGCCACCTCCCCGCCCCCACCCCCCCTCCCCCATCGCGCGCGCTCCGCCCGCCCCGGAGCCTCGCCCTCCGCCACGATGAGCAAATGAGCGCGAGCGAGGGCATGAAATTTAAATTCCACTCAGGGGAGAAAGTGCTGTGCTTCGAGCCTGACCCCACCAAGGCGCGAGTGCTGTACGATGCCAAGGTGCCGCCGCGGACGGACAGGGAGGAGGCGCGGGCCGGGGACCCCGGGACGGGTGGCGGGTGCGGGTGCGGGTGCGGACGGCGGCGCGGAGCAGGGGAAGTGGCGGGGCCCGGCGCTCCATGCCGGCGGCTCCTCGGCTTGCGAGGCGCCGTGCGTGCAGCAGGGGGCGCTCTCGGGGCGCGGCGCTGGGGAGTCGGGGCCCGGGAGCTTCCGCTTCCGCCCGGCGCTGGGCTGCGCACGCGCCATCGGAAACCTCGCGCGTGCAGTGTCGCGAGGCTGGGGCTGCGACGCCGGTTTGCGTACGCGACGCCAGCGAGGGCTACCGTCGAGGAGGTCGCTTGCCGGCGGCCTTCAGCTTCTTGTTAAATCTTTCACCATTCTGCGCGGCCCATCGTTGCCTGGGCTGCTGTGCGACTCCCTGACTGACCGAGCCAGGTCCTAAACCGTAGCGCCATAGCACTGGCCGTCGATTCACGACGTCATTGCTCTGGAGCACCAATCGTGTCTGGGCCCGTCCCCCCCGTAGGCCGCGACTCCCCACCCGAGGGCAGTGTTGACCTGGTGCTTTCGTCACTCGGGGTCTTGCAGCATTTAGGTTTTCAGTCTCCGAGTCGCGCCCTGTGCCTGTCCATCTAAGTTTCGGGGACGGGGGGGAGGGACGGGGGCACTGAGCCACAACCGCAGCTCCTGGGGCCTCGATGATGAGTGGGAGTGGGCACCGCAGTTTGGGTTTGGGGGCTGGCTTCGGGCCCCAGGTGCTTCAGGGCGACTCTGGCCTTAAGGGGACTTCCCGAAGCCTCTAGCTTTTGCGAGTTGTGTTTTCGGGCTCCGCCCCCGAAGTCTCCGGCTACTTGCTATCCCACCTCCCGTCCCGCCTTGAGCCTCCGTAGGGGTCACACGCCTCATTTGCCCCAGTTGTTCCCTCTAGGGACACCTCGGAGAGATGGCATAATTTGCCAAACGTCCCGACCCTGGACGCGGCTAAGCTGGGGATACTACAACTCCCAGAGATCTTAGGGCCTCAGCGCTCTTGTCTGGCCTGGACTCTCTCGTTAGTGACAAATCGGTCGGCCAATGGGCTTCAATAAGCTGAACCCAGTCTCAATATCTGAGACCAATCGCGGGCTGGTTGGAGGGATGTTTCCTATTTTGAGGCATCCACTCAGGGGGAAAAAATGGAATTGAAAGGGAAAATGTTTCAACCCAGCTTTCAGTCTAAAAAAGGAGAGAACGCTTTCTTTTCTTTTAAAAAGAGATTTGTGATCTAGTTTTCCTGATCTAGCTTCCAATATTCTCTATGTTCTGTCATTTGCGGACAATATTTCCTGGTTTCAGATTGTCGATGTTATTGTTGGGAAAGACGAAAAAGGCAGAAAGATCCCAGAATATCTGATCCATTTTAATGGTTGGAACAGAAGGTGAGTGTACTTGTTTAACGAGATTGAAAATTGATCATCTTTGCCGCACAAGAACATTGCAAACTTATTTAAGTTTTAGAAACACTTGTAGAAAAGCTTCACTTCCTGTTTCTGCTTTTTTATCAAACCTTGCGTATTCTGAAGAAGGATTACTTTTAAGTCAATTATATTTGGATTCTCTGTGGGTAATTCTAAAAACCCTAGTTCTTTCTGTGTCTGCATGAGTTTCTTTTTCAATTTATTTGCATCTTTTTTGTGATTTTAAAATGTTTAAATAGTTTTCTAAGACATAAGTACTTCTGGGACACTTCTGCTTCTGTGAGGTGCTTGTAGCATTTGTTTCATATCAACCTAAAATACTGAATTTTACATGCTTTTCCTTTTTTTGTTTGATTAGCTGGGATAGATGGGCAGCTGAAGATCATGTCCTTCGTGACACCGATGAAAATCGGAGATTACAGCGTAAATTGGCAAGAAAAGCTGTAGCTCGCCTGTAAGAACACAAAAATTGTGACATAATTGTTATTCAGTGTGTTTTCTCTTTGTGTTTAGAACCTTTAAAATATTAAAGTAAAAATATGGCAAACATGACTTATTAATAACTTTATATATTTAAAGTGTGCTCATGAAGAATTGCTCTTACATTCTAAATTCTGTGTTTTCACAGAGGTTACTGTATAATCTTCTGAAGTGGAGATTAACATTTATGTTCTGGGATTTAATGATTTTTAGGTTCTTAAGAATCGTTGTTATATCTTGTTTGTACTTCAATACCCATTATCAGTCAGCATCAAACTTTATTTTGGTTGCATTTATTTTCCTCAGGAGAAGCACAGGAAGAAAGAAGAAGCGCTGCAGGTTGCCCGGTGTTGACTCTGTCTTAAAAAGCCTCCCTGTTGAAGAAAAAGATGAAAATGATGAAAACTGTGAGTGGTTTGACTTCATTTTCTCCAGCTAAAAGAACTTTTACCTAGTCCTTTTATACCACAGGATTGAGGGGTAGGAGTCGTTGTAGTTACAGACAAGGAAACATTTTAAGCTCACCACATATAACATGTGCCCCTTTTGTTCTTAACAATTAAAGCAGTGGTCAGTTAGTCCATAATACTTCATCAGTCTTGCTCATGACTGCTGCCTTTTCAGCCAGGGTCTTTATTTGTACTAACCCCCCATGTTTCCTTCTTGGCACTTCCTGAGCCTTGTCCCCAGTTATGAATGCAACAGAGAACCATAGAATCCTAGGTGACTAAACACTTTCAGATCATTAACTTGGGTGGGTTTTGCCCTCATTGAAATTGGTGTTATATTTCTCAAAATAAATTTCTATCTGAAAGGTACAGTTTTTATGTTCGGCATTTAAAATATGTGCAGGACTACAGTTAATTATTGCCAATAGTAGGACACATGCTTCACCTTAAAGAACTATAATTGTAGGGGCGCCTGGGTGGCTCAGTCATTAAGCATCTGCTTTTGGCTCAGGTCATGATCCCAGAGTCCTGGGATCGAGCCCTGCATTGGGCTCCCTGCTAGGCGAGAAGCCTGCTTATCCCTCTCCCACTCCCCCTGCTTGTGTTCCCTCTCTCACTGTGTCTCTCTCTGTCAAATAAATAAATAAAATCTTTTTAAAAAAAAGAATTATAATTGTAAAGGTTAGGGAAGTATATGGTGCCATTATGCCTGATAATTTTTGTTTTTCTAGCAATAAGCAGTTCCTCTGCTGACAGTAGTGAAGAAAAGGATGAAGAAATAAGTGAAGAAAGTGATATTGAAGAAAAGACAGAAGTGGTATAAAGTTTCTACTGTAAAAATGCTGGTTTTGGTACATATTTAGTGGTAAAAATATGTGATAAAGTTCTTCAGTTGCAGATCATTTTGTAAAAATGCATTGTTTTAACCAGATACTGTAAACCTCTACTTGATCTTTAAGGGAAAATAACCTTTATTTATATTTATAGTCACAGTATGAACCTCTTGGTAGCTGTTTTTACCTGTAAAATGTTTTCACAAATCATAGTTAATTCGTTCTTTCTATTGCGGCCATGAACTTTGTTTTTATAGTCGTGTTTAGTTTTTAAATGTTGTGTATCAGAGTTTGGCATCTTCTGCCTGCCTTCAAAGTTAACATAAATCTCACTGGCAAACTTAAAAGGGGGGGAAAGAAAATTAGCATCGGCAACATGGTTCGTGCCCTAAAATACATTAACTTTTGGCCTTTAATGTACTTTTCTGTAGGACATAGGGCATCCTGGTATGAATGTCGAGGATTAATGGGGTTTGTTTCATAGTAGGCTCTCTGTGTTAGTCTTCCTTTGGATATAGACTCTGTTACTGTGACAACTAGTTAAAAATGAAATCGTGATATTGCAGAAGGAAGAACCAGAGCTGCACACAAAAAGGGAAATGGAAGAAAGAACAATAACTATAGAAATCCCTGAAGTTCTAAAAAAGAAGCTTGAGGATGATTGTTACTATATCAACAGGAGGAAACGGGTATGCAGGGAGAATACATAAAACCTGGATTTGTAATAGAACATTCATTCTGCCATATTTTGCAGTTACAGACTCAAATAATTAAGAACCTTGTAAGAATGATATTCATATTTTAAGTTTTATAGTGAGTTAGGTTTTAAAGTTCTCTGACAGTACTCTTCTGTTGCTGATTGAATTAAAGCATGCACAGTCGTTCCCGGCTTTGGCTGTCCATTAGAATCCTCTAGGGAGCTTTGTCAAATTCCTCATGCCTGGGCTTCATCCAGGAGGTTAAGACAAGGGGCACCTGGGTGGCTCAGTTGGTTAAGCGTCCAACTCTTGGGTTTCAGCTCAGGTCTTGATCTCGGGGTCCCGAGGTCAAGACCCATAGTGGGTTCTGCACTAAGTGGGGAGTCTGCTTTAGATTCTCTCATTCCCTCTCCCTTCGTTCTTTCCTGCCCCCTCCCACCTTATGCACGCGCACAGATGCGCTCTCAAATGTTTTAAGAAGAGGTTAAGACAGAATTGATCTGTCACAGAGGCCGACAGTGGACATAGTCTTCCCAGGTAGCTGCAGTTGATCATTAAGATGTGAATCACGGGTCACATTTATTTTTAAAATTTATACTGTAGTCTTCATGGGGATAACGATTAGTAGAAGCAATCATAGACCTTCAAAGCATATTTATTTAAAACATTCTCAAGCAGAATTGGCTTTATTTTCGAGTTAAAAAATGTATATAGACAAGAGCACTGTTTCTTGGCACATGTGGTTTATACAATGAGATGCACGCATCACATGTCTGTATTTTTATTAACAGTTAGTGAAACTTCCATGCCAGACCAACATCATAACTATTTTGGAATCCTACGTGAAACATTTTGCTATCAATGCAGCCTTTTCAGCCAATGAGAGGCCTCGTCACCATCATGCTATGCCACATGCCAATATGAATGTGCATTACATCCCAGCAGAAAAGAAGTGAGTAGTGAGGGAGGTGGGGATTGGTGTCTCAATGGCTCTCTCTTTGTGTATTAGGGAAGTGACTTCCATTTAGAACAGGTGACATTCTATTTCTGTAACTTGGAATTCATTGAATGTATCACTCGATTAACCTAATAATTCATTAAGTAAGAAATTTAACACCAAAATATTGTTCCTTTTACGAAATGTTCAGTAACTATTTAGATATCTGGTTTGGCTGGATATACTGAGTTTGCACTGCCTCAACACCAAGACCAGTTTTTTTCAGTGATATGATACAGGGAGATAACTCTTTGTCCTTGAGAAGCACCAGAATAGGCAAATAAAATTTTATCAAAGCTTGTTTACAAATAGGTTCTTATTTAGCCGGGATAATCGTTTTCATAGCCTGCCTTGTGCATGTTAGCAGCTGGATTAGAGGCAGACAGGCAGGTTGTTTGATTTGCAATAAGTATTAGGAGTGGTTCATTAGGTCTGCCCCCTTCCACTCCCAGTCATTGTGGTCCAGTAGTCTGTGTTCTGCGACACAGGCTGCTTGGACTCCTTGTGTGGTACTGAATGTATACATTTGTGTTCAGTGCAGTAAGTTAAAATTCCTGGTGTACTCTTTTCACTTTATAGATCAACATTTTCATTTAATTTTTTGGTGGCAACATCTACAAACTCACTGTATTTTTTAAATGTGTAGGTGTAATAGATGGTGTTTAAGTTTAAAACTCTGCCTGATTAAAAACATGCAACTTCATTATGACCCTTTGGAAAGTATTTACTGCATCTCTAATCTCTTCTTACTCTCCTAGTGTTGACCTTTGTAAGGAGATGGTGGATGGAGTAAGAATAACATTTGATTACACGCTGCCACTGCTTCTACTCTATCCGTATGAACAAGTTCAGTATAAAAAGGTGACTTCATCCAAGTTTTTCCTTCCAATTAAGGAAAGTGCCACAAACAGTAACAGGTAAGTTAGATAGTCTGAAGTTTGACTGTCAGATGTCAGCAACCACGTTGACTCTGTCTTTGAAGATTTCCACGTAATGCTGTGGGGCCGACAGGTTTGGAGGAGGAGATTGAGAAGTAGGGTTTTTCCCTGGGTAAAGCTAAGTCATCATTCACTTTCAGATGGCTCTGAAAGATTGAACCAAGCGAAGGTTCCAGTGCGAGAACTTGGTTCAATTTTGAGCAGCTAACCTGTCTTTCCAAAGACAAATGGGGTGAAGAAGGCGCAGACCGAGAAAGGCAGAAGTGGGTTTGAATTTAGCTCCTTCGCTTACTGATTGTGTGGCTTGAGGAGATTCCTTCTGAGGCTCTTTCCTTTGCCTCTGCACAATGGAAAGAATAGCTGCCTCCTTGGGTAGTTATTAAATGAGAAAGTTTACAAAGGGCTGGCCACCTTTTGCCTTCAACTAAAGGTTAGTTCCTTTCCTGCTCTGCTGCATCACTACTTTCTTCCCTAAGTCACCAAGCATGCCCAAATCCCTATTGTTTGGTTGGGGGAAGGGGTGGAAATTCCCCACCTGAAGTCTGTACCCTCACCTGTATAAGCTGCTTCCCTGTCTTCCTGTGCCTCTCTTGGTGAGAATGGCCTGTTCTCATGATTTCCACTTCTTCATCTCTTCCTGCCTACTTTACGCTCTGCTGTTGTCTACCAACTGCCCCTGCTAACTCTGCTCCCCAAGGGGGGTACTAACAACTTCCCACTTGTCACACGCCATGCTCTGCTTTGGCCACCTTTCCCCACCACCCCCTTGTCCCTTCCCTTCATGCCTCCTTGCTCCTGGTTCTCTCTCTGCCTCATGATCATCTCTTAGCCTGCCTGCCTGCCTCTCCCATTGGTTTCAACCTATGCGAGAGGCATGTGCAACTCGCTGGGGACCTGTGTGGATGTTCCCATGCCCTACTCCCAATCTCAAGGTTGCCAGTGTCCAGGGTGGACTGTGTGTTCCACAAGCTTGGCGGATGCTTGTGGCTTCTCCATTCTAGTCTTGTGAGTAGTTACACTGTGGTGAGATAACATGATATTCTTACTCTATTTAAAAAAAAAAAAAAAAGCTTTTACTGAAGTATAGTTGACACAATGTTATTTTACTTTAGGAATTAGGACACAGTGATTGCACAGACCTCTATGTTACCCACACATGGAGCTACAACAGTAATCCTATTCTCTTGACCAGGGTTTCTCAACCTCAGCCCTGTTGCTGTTTTGGGTGAGATCATTCTTTGTGGTGGGGCGTCCTGGGCGCTGTAGGTTGTCGGGCAGCAGTCCTGGCCTCTACCCACTAGATGCCAGGAGTGTTTTGCCAGTTGTGACAAGCGAAGCAGCACTGTCTCCAGATAGTGCTGTTGTCCCGGGCAGGGCACAGCGACTCCCCATTGAGAACCATCGCTAAAAGACATACAAAAGGGGCATCACAGCCTTTCATGCCAGCATGCCTTGCAGAGTTATCAAGAGGATTTAAATGATCGAGTACGTATGGTTACTCTTTAAGGAAACACTTGTTTTGCCACATGTGAAAGTAAAAGTTTTAAGTCTCCTAGAGTGCAGTCCAGAGTGTTTTCTGCTCCGCCTGAAGGAGGACATTAAGAACGTCAGGTTTTGCAGGGATTCTGGGACCAGGTGTGTGTGATGCTTTCTCCTGTTCTTCCGTAGGAACCAAGAGGAGCTCTCTCCAAGCCCACCTTTGTTGAATCCATCCACACCGCAGTCCACGGAGAGTCAGCCCACCACAGGGGAGCCAGCTACCCCCAAACGGCGCAAAGCTGAACCGGAAGCCTTGCAGTCTCTGAGGCGGTCCACGCGCCACTCTGCCAACTGCGACAGGCTGTCTGAGAGCAGCGCCTCGCCTCAGCCCAAGCGCCGGCAGCAGGACACACCCTCCAGCATGCCAAAGCTGTTCCTGCACCTGGAGAAGAGTAGGTCCACTTTCAGGTGTGGGAAAGCCTTTCACTTTGGGCTTGGTGTGTGCCAGTCACTGCTCTCCTAACGGGAGCCCAGCCGACAGGGGAGGCTGGGAGAAGAATGGGGATGAGTGCACAGTCACACCCAGATTCACCCACTCAGCTGTGGGAAATCCACTCGGGAGTTTGGCTCTGACCAAGACTCACGAGGCATTTTCCCTATGGCCTGGAGAGAGGAGTCCCACGCCTTCGGCTCTGCAGTTGGATGCTTGGCCCTGCTGGTTTAGCTGTCTCGTGGGTCTTGTAGCAGTAGCTCTGCGTTCCCTCCTCCCAGCCCTAATCTATCCTGCTAGGCAACCACTAGTTAGTTACTTTCTATCTCTATGGATTTGCCTCTTCTAGGCATCAATTCCTGTGAGTGGAATTACACAGTAAGTGACCTTCTGTCTGTGGCTTCTCTCAGTTAGCATAATGTTTTCTAAGTTCAGCGTGTCATAGCATATGTCAATACTTGTTTCCTGTTTTTCCCCCTCAAGAATCCAGGTACTGTCTTTGATGATGGGAAAGTCTTACTGTTAAAGATTAATAACTTCTGCACTGTTTTAGACTGCCGGATGACTGTTAAAACAGTAGCAGAGTTATTACTCTTCAGTTGCTGTATGATTCACAAGTGAATAATTAACATTTTTTCCTTCTGAAGAGACACCTGTGCATAGCAGATCATCCTCACCGGTTCCTCTGACCCCCAGCAAGGAAGGGAGTGCCGTGTTTGCTGGCTTTGAAGGCAGAAGAACTAATGAAATAAACGAGGTAAAGCATTACTGTTGCTGGTCATCTGCAGTGAGTCCTCCTTAAAGGACCTTAAAGGACCTTAAGCCTCCTTGGGGCTTAAATCCTGTGGGTGGAAATCAGGTTTCCTTAGAAACGCTGTGTTGCTCTTGCTGTGGATAGCAACACAGTGCTTCATACGATGACGTTTAATACTGGTTTGGGTTTCTAAAATGAGAAAATCCTAGGATTCCAGCCCTGCGCTTATGGTCATCTTTTAAGTAAGCACAAGTATTGAAATATATGAGTATTTTCATTTTATGGAACAGGCGTTGGCACACTTGTTCTGCAGAGATCCAGAGAGTAAATATTTTAGGCCTTGTGGACCACACAGTCTCCTTCAAGACTCCCCAATTCCAAAAGCACTCTGTAAACGAATGGGCATGCTGTGTTCCAATAAGGCTTGATTTATGGACACCGAAATTTGAATATCATAATTTTCATGTTGTGGAATACGGTTCTTCTTTTGGGTTTTTCCAACTATTTAAAAATATAAAATTCTTTGTTAATAGTTGTACCAGTATCCATCCCTTTGAGGGTGTGCTATATGTTAGCATTGTGCCAGCCACTTGACCTAAATCGCCTCACATTCTTTAGAACAACCTTGCCACCAGGTTTCCGTTTTACAAGTGGGGAAACTTTTCATTTAAAAATTCAGTTTTGGGGGCGCCTGGGTGGCTCAGTGGTTAAGCGTCTGCTTTGGCTCAGGTCATGATCCCAGGGTCCTGGAATCAAGCCCCGCATCGGGCTCCCTGCTCAGCGGAGAGCCTGCTTCTCCCTCTCTCATGCTTCTCCCTCTCCCACTGCTTGTGTTCCTTCTCTCACTGTGTCTCTCTGTCAAATAAATAAATAAAATCTTTAAAAAAAACCTTAAAAATTCTGTTTTTAAGGCTAGTTAACTGATGTGTAGGTAGTGAGTGTACTGGGGGTTTAAGAAATGTCTTGGTCTACTGGGATACTCTGTGAATCTCACCTAGGAGGTAGGATTTCCCTGTTTCTGTGCATAGGGGAGATAACTTTACTAGGGAGAGAGAACATTTAAAGATGAGGATTGGCAAACTTTTTCTGTAAAGAGTCAGATTGCAAATATTTTCAGGGTCGTGTACCATATAGTCTCTTTGGAGATTATCCAACTCTGCTGTAGTGTGAGAGTTACTCATAAGTGAATGAGTGTGGCTCTATGCCCCCCAAAATGTATTCATGCACACTAGTAATTGACTTTAATGTGATTTTCATGTCATGAAATATTTATTCATGTGATTTTATTAACCACTTAAAAATACAACAGTCATTTTTAGCACAAGGGAGTTAGGCTGGATTTGGCAGAAGGCCTTAATTGGTTGACCCCCGATAGAAAAGCTGGAAAACTTAATTTGTTTTACAGTGACACTGAGGGAAAGTTAGGAAATTCCTATTATAGCAGTCCCTAACGTCCTGTTTTTCAGACAAGGCCCTGCAAGTGTTTTTAAGGGGAGCCCTTTTTCTTTTAAGAGGCTCATGAATATTCAGGCAAGGCCATTCCCACTCAGGTTGGCAGCGAGAGCCCACCATCTAGTGGTTACAAGGACAGCTGCAAGCTCCAGTAGAGCAGGAGTTCTAGTAAGACAGGCTCTCAGCAGCGACTCATGACATCTTAAGAAACTGCCACCTTCCTGAGTGCCTCTGTCTCAGTGTGTTTTGGTAAAAGCTCTGCATCCAGATCATCTGAGACTGTCACTGACCTAGTGCGTTGGGGTAGAGTCTGGATGTACACATTTACAATTCACAGGCAGTTGTCTGTATACCCCAGGTGAGAATCGCTCTGCTAGAAACCTGTTTTTCCCCATGAAATTTATCTTTGATAAATAGAAGGTGATACACTGTATCGCAATGCAGAGTGGAATGAGTGAGGTAGGCTGGCCTGCTGAGTAGCCCCATAACTGGCATTTGCACACACGTCTCATGTTCCAATGATTGCTGTTTCCCCTACGTTAACTTCAAGCATCACTGTCAGAACAGTTGCCAAGCTTCTGTTGTGCGCGCCACAGGCTGAGGTGCTGTGCATGGAATAAAGATGCTGAAACCAAATCCCTCCCTTCAGTGGTCTACACCCCAGATGGGTGGGGCGGGTGAGGCCAGGGCTGAAGCCCAGACTTGCAGCGTGGAGCCATACAGAACCATGGTGAGACTCACTTCTACAGTTTCATTGTGTACACTTGTACTCAATTTAGTACATCAGCCTTTCTGGGGTGGTTTTGGCATCCTTCTGCCTTGTCTTACAGAGGATTTCTTTGGCCCTACTCTATTTCCAGATTAAACTTGACAGATCCCAAAAGGCAAAGCAGCAACTCGGTAAAATAGTCCTGTAATGTGCTGAAATATCTCTGTGGAGACTCATCAGAGAGCTTCTAAATACAGCTCTTAACTTTAACAAAAGCCCAAAGTCCACCCATAGCTCTGAAATTTAGAAAAAAGGAAAGGAAATTGGTTACCAGGGTTGAAGTCTGCTTTCACTTGATCCAGTGGTTCGGATTAGTTTCCAAAGTGAATCAAATATATCAGGAGATTAGGGAATCTTAAAACAATGGTAATATTACTCAAAACATGTTTGGGTTAGTTTTTGCTACTACATTCTCTAATATGGCATGATTTCCAATAAAGGAAAAGGGACAAAAATGACCAAAACAGTTATAGCTAATTTATAGGTCATAGTTAGCGAGAATTGGGAAATCAGATATTTCCTTAATCTTACTTTAGGTCTCCTCTCCCCCTATACACACACTTTATTTTTTTAAGATTTTATTAATTTGACAGAGAGAGACAGCGAGAGTGGGAGAGGGAAAAGCAGGCTTCCCGCAGAGCAAGGGGCCCGACGCTGGGCTCAATCCCAGGACCCTGGGATCATGACCTGAGCTGAAGGCAGATGCTTAATGACTCTGCCCCCCAGGCGCCCCACACTTTATTTTTATAAGCTTTCTATTATTTTGACATAGAGCTGTATATTTTCTATATTTTCCTCTACGTGCAATTTATCGTTTTGACTTCTTAAGGTGATGAGAGGTATCTCCATGTTGCCAAGGAAGGTGGATCCTCATGTGATATAAGAGGCAAGAATGTTTTGAAAAAGTTGTAGGGAACTATTAGATATATGCTGATATATAATCAATATGGAAGATGCATACCTTATCCTCCCAAACTTCCTAAATCATAATTTCACCAGTAAGAAATGGACATTTAACTTTTTGGTATACACTTCCTGGTAGGTCTTCTGTGTATTTACGTAATAATTACACACATCATATTGTGTATTTTTTCTAAGTATCATATTGAATTTCGTTGTTTTGTAGTTTGATCCTTTTCAACATAATGCATTATACTGCTATATTCTGAGATCATGTCCCTTTTTAAAAGGACTTCATGGGAAAGAGGAGTGGCGTTCAGAATTCCACAGTGGTTTGTCATTACTGTTTACTGCCCTCTTCTGGGTCCAGCTGTGAAGCAACTCCTAAGTTGCTAGGAGGCCACGAAGCTTGGGAGTGAGAATTTGACACTCAATTCGAGATGAGAACCTCAAAGCAAGTGTATTTCCGCTGGGATTCTAAATTTTGAGATCTCTTGGTGACAGTGTTAAGCATGCATTGAACAATTTGTCACTATATCTTTTCTCAGGTCCTCTCCTGGAAACTTGTACCTGACAGCTACCCCCCAGGCGACCAGCCCCCTCCACCATCTTACATTTATGGGGCACAACACTTGCTACGATTGTTTGGTAAGAAATCCTGGTCCCTGCTTTCTTCTTCCTCCACCGCCCCCGCTCCCTTCCACTTTAGGGGTTTTTTAATCTTTTTTTTTTAGTAATCTCTACACCCAGTGTGAGGCTCAAATTTACAACCCTGAGGTCAGAAGTCACACTTTTCCAGCTGAGCCAGCCAGGCACCCCTCCACTTTGGTTTTAACACCCTTGTTAGTTTATGTACATCTCGTGGTAATTGAGGGTCTTAAGAAAAATCATTGAAAAATTTTTTTTTAAAAAGGCACTGACTCAATCTTAAATTTCATAAAAATTGTATTTGTACCATGTGTACCACTGTGTTCAGTGAGAGGTTTTGGTTTTGTTTGATAATGTAGATGTTAATTTCAGTTTGAATAGGATAAGCAAGGACCCTCAGTGTGTCCTGCTCATTACCAGAGTCTGCCATTGTAAATGGTTTTGGTTTTATTTTTAATGCAGTGAAACTTCCAGAAATCCTTGGAAAGATGTCCTTTTCTGAGAAGAATCTGAAGGCTTTACTGAAGCACTTTGATCTCTTTCTTAGGTATTTTAAATTTTTTTGTGAATACTCACTCTGCTGCCTTATATATGACTTTTCTGAACTTCTCCATAATAGATGTGGAAACTAGCTTTGTGGTATTTTAAACAGTAGCAGTAGTAGCTAAGAATGATTGATTCCAACTGTAATCATGACATCAGGGTTTTTTGGCTATTTTCGTCTTCTGTAATTTATTGTATAAAGGTAAAATTTTTTGTGTCACTAGAAGAATGCATTTGGGTAACTGAATAGAAAATTAATTTTTTATAGTAGAAGTGTTTGAGATTGATAATTTAGTTTTACATTTTTCATTTAGAAGTACCTTAAGCATTAGGTGTTTCTTTGTTGCATATACATAAACTAACCTAAATATTAGCATTTACAGATTGGATTTTGTGCTTAGAGTTAAGATAAATGAGCGATACATGCTGACGGTTTGTCAGCGTACAGAAAGGTATTGTTCTCTGCATCTGACAGAGCCAGTCATTGTATCTTAGGATCATTTGCTCTGAGGCTCTGCCCCCCACTCCTTGTACCATGCTGTGGGCCCCAGACTCACTTGTGCCTGTGGCCCAGCTCTGTCCCATCCAGATGTCTACTGACCAGTTCCTCTACTTCATGTTCAAGGCTACTCATCACACCCCCTTACCCAGCTCATGTATCTACCTGATCTGATTTCTTCCTTCTCTGTAAGGGGGTACCTTCTTTTTGTAGTCAGCTCCAACCTGCAAGAGCTAAACGAATAGGATTTATTGGTGTGGAAAGTATTCCAGCCAGAGAAATGGGTTTTTGGAGTTTTTAAAGGGTATAGGAGTTTTTTTTTTTTTTTTTTAAAGATTCCATTCATCCAGAGGCAGGCAGAGAGAGAGGAAGGGAAGCAGGCTCCCGTGCTGAGCAGAGAGCCCATGTGGGGCTCGATCCCAGGACCCTGAGATCATGACCTGAGCTGAAGGCAGAGGCTTTAACCCACTGAGCCACCCAGGTGCCCCGGGTATTGGAGTTTTAAAGGGTATTTTTATGTAGACATTTTGGGTAAAGTGTCTGTGAGTGAAATTAGAGTTTATAACACGTTATTAGAAACAATTATGAAAAATATACTCTTCCCTTCCAGCCTCCCCCTCAAACACCCAATTCTATTTGGCATAAAGATTGTGTAGGACGGGGGCGCCTGGGTGGCTCAGTGGGTTAAAGCCTCTGCCTTCGGCTCAGGTCATGATCCCAGGGTCCTCGGATCGAGCCCCGCATCGGGCTCTCTGCTCAGCAGGGAGCCTGCTTCCCCCTCTCTCTGTGCCTGCCTCTCTGCCTACTTGTGATCTCTGTCTGTCAAATAAATAAATAAAATCTTTAAAAAAAAAAAAAAAAAGATTGTGTAGGCCAAAATCAAATAGTGCCAAGAAAACATGAAGAATAGCTGCAAGTTAGCATAGGAAAGCCTGCTGATTTTGTCATGCCCAAAACAAAATAGAAATTAATGTTTTAAGAATTAATGTAGAAAGATTTGCAAATATTCTAATTGGTTTTGAAAACGTATCCAGAATGCTCGGTAGACTCAATGAGCACCTTAAAAATGGCACAATCCAAAGAAGAGTTAGCTATCTCGTGAATTTTGACTCAGTTTTTACTAAAGAAGATACTAGGTTTATCCTTACATTTTTAGAAATTTAGACAGGTGGAAAGAGGCTGGAGAAACAAGCATGAAACTAATTAGCTTCGCAGTTAATATGGCCCATGTGAGAATGTTTAAGCCCCGTGTGGTGAAATCCTTGACACTTCAGACACAAAATAGTGTCTGCAGAATGTGAACTTTTGAATAACTGGCCTCACTGTAACGTCCATGGTCAGACGCTAAGTCAGCCTTGTTTATGAAGTACGCTGAAACTCTAACACCTTTGGATGGCGAATTAGGACCCAGATACCCTTTACTATTTATACTGCTCAATTTCGGTTTAGCTTAGCCTATAGGAAGTATTGGAAATTTCTCAGGTGACATTTGTTGAGTTTATAGCGCTTTTTTTTTTAAAGATTTTATTTATTTGAGGGGCGCCTGGGTGGCTCAGTGGGTTAAAGCCTCTGCCTTCGGCTCAGGTCATGATCCCAGGGTCCTGGGATCGAGCCCCGCATCGGGCTCTCTGCTCAGCAGAGAGTCTGCTTCCTCCTATCTCTCTCTGCCTGCTTCTCTGCCTACTTGTGATCTCTGTCAAATAAATAAATAAAATCTTAAAAAAAAAAAAGATTTTATTTATTTGAGAGAGTGAGCACGGGCAGGGGGAAGGGCAGGAGAAGGAGGCTCCCCGCTGAGCAGGAAGCCACTGTAGGACTGCATCCCAGGACCCTGGGATCATGACCTGAGCCGAAGGCAGATGCTTAACTCACTGAGCCACCCAGGCGCCCTGAGTTTATGGTTTTTTATAGTTTATTTTAATTTTTTTAAGACTTTATTTGACAGAAAGTGTGCACAAGCAGGGGGTATGGCAAGCAGAGGGAGAGGGAGAAGCAGGCTTTCCACCCTAGCAGGGAGCCCAGTGTGGGAGCCGGGGATCATGACCTGAGCCAAAGACAGACACTTAACGACCGAGCCACCCAGGCGTCCCAGTATAGTTTGTTTTTATAACAGGAAAATGGAGTAGTCGTCAGAGCCTCCCCCCCCCTTTTTTTTTTCAATGTTTGTATAATGAAGGCTGCCACCTAGTGGAGTTTCAGTTCTATTTCTCTTTGTACACTTGATAGTGAAAGGATCCTAATGAAATGGTAATTGATAGAGGAGCCAGATATGTGCAATGAAAGTGATGAGTATATAGAAATCAAGATTTTATTCATTTTCTTCCTTCGGAATACCAAAAATGTCTGAAATGTTAGGATGGTCGCAAGTTAAAATTTTGCTTGCTGGTATTCAGTCCTCACTGTTAAAGATCATCAGGGCCATTTTCTTCTTTTCCCAGGTTTTTGGCAGAATACCATGATGACTTCTTTCCAGAGTCTGCCTATGTTGCTGCCTGTGAGGCACACTATAGCACCAAGAACCCCAGGGCAATTTATTAAAGTTTTGATGGTTCTAGAAGAACAACTTCTCTGTCTAGCTTTGTGCTCTAGGATCCCAGTGAAGATCTAGGGAGAAGGTGGACCTTCTTTACAGAGCTGGCATGACACCCACCCCTAGGGGCGCTGGCAGAGGTGGGCCCATTTGTTTGAGTTGCTTACATACTATAGTTATTTCTGTTAAGGTTTATTTCCTAGGTGCCTGACCAGCCTCCAGCATGAGACCCTTGCCACCGTTCATGTCATCTGTGACAGCAGAAAAAGAGCAGCTGTGGTCACTGTGAAGCGTTAATGAGAGAATGTATAGGTCAGGCTGTTTCAGTAGCTGTTGGAGTTAATTCGTGAGCGATGACCACATTTTTTAGTTATTTGTTAGCATTAAGCGAAATTGTTTTCCAAACTGTTTTCATTCTTGTGATGAGGCTCAAAAACTCGGTCCAACAAATTTTAGTTTCGCTTGGAAATCACAACGTAGTACCAAAATATTTTAGAGGGAATTGATACCGAAGGCAAAAGAAAATTTGCAGTCACACATTTGCTTGTTACAGCTCCTTTTCTCCAAAATCTTATTTTTGGTGATCTAAATAAAGTGTTGCCTCTCTTGTTTGAGATTTTACAGCTATACTTTGTTGTGTAATGTTATGGTTCCCTTTCTGTAAAACCTTATTTTTGGTGATCTAAATAAAGTGTTGCCCATCTTGTTGCAAAGAACCAGTTTTCACTCTGGCCTTGTCCTCTTTCTTTGTTGCAAAGGAACAGTGAGGTAATCTCTTGACTCATAACTCTTTGTTTTATTTTGTTACACTTTTGTGCCTTTTTTGCTAAGGCCTTTTGTTTTCTATCCCTCTTTGATTTTGCCCCACTTGGTGGCTTGACCATAAGGCGGCTACTGGGAGTCAGTGCAGTTTTTTGCTATCCTGCTGCTGCTCTCTGAGGTGGTCTGGGGCCAACACATTTATCCTTGTACACCATTACCAGCTGAGGGTCTCTGCAGTCAGCCTTTTTTTTTTTAAGATTTTATTTATTTATTTGACAGAGACAGCGAGAGAGGGAACAGAAGCAGGGGGAATGAGAGAGGGAGAAGCAGGCCTCCCGCTAAGCAGGGAGCCCGATGCGGGGCTGATCCCAGGACCCCGGGATCATGACCCAAGCCAAAGGCAGCTGCCCAACGACTGAGCCACCAAGGTGCCCCTGCGGTCACCCTTCTAATCCTCGTTTTAATATCTCCTGTGCCCCCTTCCCGCCTCAATGCTTAAAAGGCAAACATTAACATAATGAATATGATCCTTAACTGCAAGGTATAGCAGTTTAGGGAAATAACATTTTAAAAATTGACAAGAGGAGGAAAACATAATTTTTAGGAAAGTGGCCTAGATTTTTAAGAAAGTTGTAACTCAGTTAAAGGGATCCCAGTACCATACAAGACTTGACCATAGCGCCTGCCTTCTTTTGTAGCTCAGTTCAGTTGACCTTAACTTCCGAAGACTATTGGTCATGAATGACAAAGGCCACAGGGGATTTTTTTTTTAAATCTAAAATGGTTCAGTGGTTCCATCAAAGAGACTTCTGCATGTATTGACCAGTGAGATTGAAAGCCTGTAAATCAGAGTAGACATCATCTTAGCGTGGTTAGTAGCTAAGTAAGACTCAGGTTTTTGGTGTCTCATCAGGTATAGCACTGAGTTCATACTATGTTTCATCTCCATTTGGTTCATGCAGTGCCTCTTTAATTAAATCTGGTGCACCGGCAGTGTGCTCTGAATTGCTGAAAAAGTCTAATCAGTAATTATTCATGGCCTGGAAAAGAAAAGAAGAAAAAAATTTCCCTTATGAGAATCTCCTTGTTTAAAGTCTCCAGTGAAATGGATACCAACTATCTCTGGGAACATTTATACAGTTGCATACCTTAAGTTTACAATTCATTCATTTTCTTTTTTTTAGCAGCTGTTTATCATTTAATCATGATCTTGTGTATCTCTCCAGGTCTCTACATATAGATTTTCATTCCCTTCCTTTAAATCTAAATGTATCTTAAAAGATAATACATTCTTGTCACTTAAGATCCAAAAGGTACAAAAGAGCACACAGGGAAAGCCCCTTTGCTTCCGCTGTCTCTACCCCAGGTACACTGTGTAGACCCCGCCAGTGTTTCTTTTTCCCCAGAAAAAGGCTGTCTTCTAGAGACAGCCATAATTCATTCATTTCCTTTTTTTTTTAAAGATTTTATTTATTTATTTGACAGTGAGAGAGGAAACACAAGCTGGGGGAGTGGGAGAGGGAGAGGCGGGCTTTCCACAGAGCAGGGAGCCCAACCTGGGGCTCGATCCCAGGACTCTGGGATTATGGCCTGAGCCAAGGCAGACGCTTTAACGATGAGCCACCCAGGCACCCCTTCATTCATTTTCTAATAATGAAAAGTTTTCTTCCTAAGGCATTTCCTAATCATAACTTCCTTTAAGCTAATCATTTACAGCTTAGGTTGATTAAGAGACCTTCAAGTGTCCCTTTATTACATATCATTAATTTTCAAATAATAAATCAGTTAAAAATATGATTTAAATGTCTAGGCCATTCTCCTAAAAATGATACGCTATCTTCCTCTTGTCAGTTTTTTTAAAAGATTTATTTATTTGACAGAAAGAGATCACAAGTAGGCAGAGAGAGAGGTAGAAGCAGGCTCCCTGCTGAGAACCCTGGGATCATGACCTGAGCTGAAGGCAGAGGCTTTAACCCACTAAGTCACCCAGGTGCCCCACTCTTGTCAATTTTTAAATTGTTACTTTAGTCCTAAAGTGCCAAACCTTGCAGTTAAGTATATTTATCATGTTAATGTTTCCCTTTTAAGTCATTTAAAGGTATATTGAAAATAATATCTCAATAACTTGTATAGCAGGTCCTTGTACTAGGACTTTGAAAAGAACATTCAAGAACAACAACAACAAAAAACACTTGTCTGAACAGAAGTAGATTTATAAATCATTCCATAGTACAGTGTACACAAAAAAAGCAAAAAGAAAAATTTCCTGAGGCGCCAGGCTAGCTCAGTCAATAGAGCCTGTGACTCTTGATCTCAAGAGTCGTGAGTTCAAGCCCATGTTGGGTGTGGAGCCTACGTAAAAGAATCTTTTTTAAACTCTCAATTTATAAAAGCTGACATCTGTCATTAGATTTTATTAACTGTAATAATGTCTGTCAAATAACTCTGTAATTTGAGGAAGTGCAGTTACCCTGTTTTTCTATTGTTTTAATAACTCAGTGGCCTCTGCTCCTTAATATTTAGCTTGTCAACAGTAAGTTTATCTGAGCATGTATTGGCAACCACCTACTGTGGTTTAGCACAGCAAAACCTGTGCTAGGTATTGGAAACGTAAGGATGAATAAGGTATGATCCTTGGTGGGGAATGCACTTAAGACTGAGTCTTCCTTAAGTTCTATATTAAGGAATTGTGTTATTTTAACTGCTTCTTAACTATAAAAAGTATAATGTAATCATGAACGGCAGCATTTTCCAAAGTTAAGCTTTCTATTGTCTAAGAGAGAAGGGATAGTTGTACTGCTAATTGATGTATGGATGTCAGCTTAGGTAAGTTCGATTATTAACTTTTTGCTAGTTGAAAAACCTGCCAAGATAATGTTAAGGGACTTGATATCCATTGGAGAAGGGAGTCTCAACAGATTAAAATTAAAAGCAGTAATTTGGGGAAATCGTGTTTACTTCACAATGAGATAAGATTCCTCAATAAACCAATTAAATCTTTTTTTAAGGAACACAATTGGAGAGACACCTATTTGTTCTAATTCTGTTTGTCTTATTCTTGTGCCAGATTCTTCCCGATGCTCATCTGGGACAGATTGTCAGTGCGTATTTAAGTTAATTGAGTTGTGTTGTTTTTACCTAGTCCAGTAAAAAGAGAATGCTACTTTCTGCCTCCCTATTCTGTGGAATACATCTAAGCTCAAAGTGAAGTTGTAAATGACCATTTCTTTGCCTTAGCTTTTCCTCTGATGGATGAGCAGAATATACGTTCCCTGTGAGTGTCCACTAGGCCTGGGGTGAGGTGCTTAGTCAGCTCTTCTCTCTGCACGTTGACTGGAGCATCTATTGGGACCCTAGCACAGACCATCTTCTCAAGATTATATACATGTTGCCGAAGGACTACAGTTAGTATCAGAGGGTGAATGAGCAAGTGTTCACGTGGTGGTAGACGGTCCGCTGAGCACTCAGGGGAGAGTGGAGATTGCTGAGGAGGAAAGAGAAAAACAACAAAAGGTCTGCTTTAGAAATGGAAAAGGATTGGGGTGCTTTTGCTGGGTGACATGCACTAAGCCTCTTCCCCTTCAGTTCTATAAGGTAACTCTGCCAAAATGGTGACCATTCACTTAGTGCTTGAGGAAATAGTTTTGTACTTTTAACCTTTAGTGGAGATGGGTTGTCAGGCTGAGACTGGCCTCTACAGGTGCGATAAGAGCAAGGGCACCCCAAGAGATGAGGACATCAGGTTGATATCTTCTTAAACTCATCAAGAGTTCCAGGAGAAGCCAGATACAAGAGGCCATATAGTCTGTGATTCCATTTCTATGAAATGTCCATAATAGATAAACCATAGGGACAGACAATAGGTTAATGGTCATTAGAGGACGAGGAGAGGAGGGAATTGGAACTGACTGCTAAGAGGCCTGAGGTCTCCTTGGGCTGATGGAATATTCTGGAATTAGTGATCACGTGCCACCCTGTGATTTTCCTAAAAACCACTGAATTGTATGCTTTTAAAAGGTGAATTTTACAGTATGTGAATTATAACTTAATTGAAACAGGGAGACCCAGGGATTGGATGTAACTACAACTCAAGAAATATACACCATGAAAACGCACTTTTGAGACCTGAAAAGCTATTTGATCCAATACCGCAACAGAGATAGCAAGAGAGCAGAAGTGGGGTGGAGCGGCAGGATCCCTGCTGAGCAGGGAGCCAGACATGGGGCTCCATCCCAGGACCCCTCTCGGAATCATGACCTGAGCTGAAGGCAGACGCTTATCCAACTGAGCCACCTAGGCACCCTTTAACATATGGCTTCTTTAATGCACCATTGGCCAAGGCAGGCCGAGTTTCCTTTTCTCCACTTCCGCGGAGTTCAGACTTCACCTGAAGTTCAGAAAACACAGTGCTGTGCCTTCATACAATTTTCTTCGTGAGCAAGTACAGGGCTGACGGATCTTCAAACCTCCTTGACTTTCAAAGTCTGCACGGCAGGGCATAAGGAATAAGTATAGAAGGAAAGAAAGTTAATAAACAGAAGTTAGTGACTATAAAAACAGCATGAATTAAGAATAATGCAAACCATAGTCAGGTCATTTTACAAGTTTTCATGTTTTGGAATTTCTTTACAACATCAGTCTTTATCCTTCCAGAAGGTCATGAAAAATCATAGGGTTCGACTTTGTTTTTCTATTGATTTGTCCTTTTCTCACTCAGATTTACAACTTTCGGGGGAATGATTTAATAAATCATTTTGGAGATCTGCTTTGGCACAAGGTAAATTATACTAGCCTGCTGATTCTATGTACTGCTCAATCTTCACCATTGTAAAGGTGACTTCGGAGACAATTTCAGGTCGTCAGCACCTATTAGTTGTTTATTATTAACCAGAAAATGATTTTGGGTGAGATGATTTGTGAGCTGTATAGAAACACACCTATAAGTGTTAGAGGAGGAAGCCTATTTAAGTGTGTTTGGGTAGTACATAAAAGTCTGAAAACCAGGGGCACCTGGGTGGCTCAGTGGGTTAAAGCCTCTGCCTTCAGCTCAGGTCATGATCCCAGGGTCCTGGGATCAAGCCCCGCGTCGGGCTTCTCTGCTCCGCGGGGAGCCTGCTTCCCCCTCTCTCTCTGCCTGTCTCTCTGCCTACTTGTGATCTCTGTCTGTCCAATAAATAAATAAAATCTTTAAAAAAAAAAAAAGTCTGAAAACCAAAAATGGAGGGCAACCTAGTAAGAATTTCTTTTGATAAGTGATTATTCATCTTAGCGTTTATATTCTGTAGCACATAAAGTTTAACCAATCATGGCATTGAACCCTTTTGTTAATTTGGTGGTCCCTAAGAAGCCATGATGTGGTAGAAGGATTGAAAAATGTTTCTAAATCTTTACACACAAAATGCTTCTAAATCTTTAAACACACACACACACACACACCCACACACACACACCCATGTTCCTGTCTCTAATCTTTCAATTGTGTATTTTTTTGAAGTTTTTTTAATTTAAATTCAATTTAGTTAACATATACTGTATTATTAGTTTCAGGAGTAGAATTTAGTGATTTATCAGTTGCATATAACACCCAGTGCTCATTACATCAAGTTCAAATGTGAATTTTTAGTTTCTCTTATCGAGAGTTAGGATCCATTTTCCTTCTCCTTGATTTTGGGCTGGCTTTCATTTTTCTTGTGCTGAGGGCTGACTTTCAATAGATCGCAGCAAGGGAACTGCTCTGCTTAGTATGAAACCCACATTAGTCTGGCTTTGGGACTTGATTTAGCCAAGAAAATAGGGCAGAAGTGCTTCACTTCCCTTCTCTCCCTTGGAACCTTGCTGAGATGTGAACCAACCCCAGGCTAACCTGCTGGGTAATAAGAGACGTGTTACCTAGTTATTCTCATCACCCAACCACCTACCAGCCAACTGCCCCACATGTGGAAGAAACCATTTCAGACCAGCCAACCCCCAGCCTACCTACAAGCCCGAGTTTCCTTTTCTCCACTTCCACTGAGTTCAGACTTCAAGTGAACCAAAATCTGCCGAACTTGGCCTAGGTTAGAGCCACCCAGTTGACGCATATGTTGTTGATCAATAATGAAGGCTTATTGTTTTAAGCCACTGTGGTTTTGGGTGGTTTGTTATGCAGCAACAGCTAACATCACAATACGTCTTTGTGGTGTTTCTGTTTTGCATCGTGTTCCATGGCACAGCTCAAACTTCATTGCCTTAGCTGAAATTGCTGAAATTCTGGTCTGTTCAGAAGCCATCAGCTAAGCAAGGGACCATGTACGGGCTCCTGCCACTGTTCAGGTAATAAGGAAGAAAATGGGTAGAGATGGTGACAAATCCTTGGGATTTTGTAGCTAACACTATGTGGGTTTTATTTTGTAAGAAATTTAGTTTGCAGGAACCAAAGAGAATATAAAATATGGTTTTATCATAAAATTAACTATGGTTATTTGGTAAGATTTGTTTCCAGCCGTTGTTTTTTGGTTTTGGCTTTTTTGTTTTTTTTACATTTTTTTTATTAACAAATAATGTACTATTTGCCCCAGGGGTACAGGTCTGTGAATCATCGGTCTTACACAATTCACAGCACTCACTATAGCACATACCCTCCCCAATGTCCATCACCCAGCCACCCTGTCCTTCCCCTCCCCGCTGCAGCAGCCCTCACTTTGTTTCCTGAGATTAAGAGTCTCTTACGGTTTGTCTCCCTCCCCGGTCCCATCTTGTTTCACTTTTTTTCCCTCCCTTCTCCGCACGAGCCCCCACCCTGCCTCTCAAATTCCTCATATCAGGGAGATCATATGATAATTGTCTTTCTCTGATCGACTTATTTCGCTCAGCATAATACCCTCTAGTTCCATCCACGTAGTTGCAAATTGTTTACAGCCATTGCTTTAGAAAGGAAGAAAACATTTTGAATCTGGCTGAAATTGCCTTTATCGTTAACCTGGTTCTCAATCCCCAGCCCTTCTCCCAGAGGGGATAATACCCTGAGCCGAGTGTGGTGTGGCCTCATATTGTGCACATGGAGTTTCTTGCTCTCGTATTCTTCATCGTGTTCCTGACATACATAGAGATGCATATTTACCCATACACATGCATGTGCAACAGAAACGTGTGTGTACATATGTGTGTGTATATGGATACACACACATCAGTTTGTGTTTTTACACATACACACATTTAGTTTAATCTTGTTACCTGCTGTGTAAGACTACCACATGGATATAATACCCGGTTTTAATTACCATTGTTGGATAGTCAGATTGCTTCCAAGTTCCCCTTTTACTAACAGTGCTGCACAGAACAGCACTTGTACTTCGGTCCTTGTGTTCAAATTCCAGTCTCTCTGTAGGTCACGTACCCAGAATTGCTGGGTGGTCAGACACATGCTTTTTCACATTTTCTGGAGTCTGGAGTTAACCCTGTTGGACGGGGATCTGGCTTTATAAGATTTCCTGGGTGTTCGGTTTCAGGACTGTTGTCTTGTGGGACACTTATAACACTGGGAGCTGAAAAGAAGAAAAATTGGATGAAAACTTGAAGTCTCTGCAACATTCTCCATGTTACCTCATCTCACATCGCCCACTCTCGCCTTGCCCTGTGTTTTTCTGCAGTATTGGGGATGATTTGGTGGTCTCATAAAAATTAGAAATAAATAACTTCACAGTGGTAAAAAGCAGGATAGGAGGTGATGGCCTGCTGCTTTGTTCACTGATTGATTTCTGGGGCAACTATTAATGACACTGTGGAAAGGAGTCGATTGGTCATCATTTCATTGAGTGGGGCAAGTGTACCACATGAGATCATTTTTGAGGGGTCTCAGGTTCATTATTCAATAAGGCAAACCAGTTGTCTTTTGGGTTTTCTCAATTGAGAGGTCAAGTCTTTTTAGACCTGCATGTTAACAGGCCAAGACATGAGGTGGTCAACATACCATGGCAGGATCAAGGTCGGGTCAAACAATATTGTCTCTGTAAATGAGAGAAAATCATTCTTGTTTAAGCAGTAAATAGTGGAACGTTCTTAGATTTTACACATCCCCTGTCAAAAATGAATTAGTACACAAGAAGCCCGTTCTCATAATAAATGTTCTTCTCAACAAATCGTGTGTGCCCTTTGTCCTTTGGGTTCAGTCTGCACCAGCTGATCATAGAAGATGATGTCAGTGCCACCCTATTGCTTTCCATGTGCAACCATATCTGAGAGCTGCCTGAGGTCTTTCGATTTCTGTCACGTTCCATTATAGGTGCTCTGTAATGCAGCTGCTCTTAGTTTAAAATTTTTATAACTGCCAATAAGAATCGCTGATTAGCAGAAGTGGTACTCTATCAGGCATTTTGTATAGAAAAATGAGAAATAAAACTGTAGAAAAACTACATCCTTGTCCTCAAACTTCCAAGCCAGGCTGATCACAAAATCACGATTAAAATGAGCAATAAGATAAAAGTAATTAAATTATCTCCTGCATGCTCCCAGAAATCACTCCAAAGGTATTTATTCATCTATTTATTTGTGGAGGGGAAAGGAGGAAGAAGCACACTCCCCGCTGAGCGGGGAGCGCCATGTGGGACTTGATCCCATAATCCTGGGATCATTACCTGAAACAAAGGCAGAGGCCCCACCAACTGAGCCACCCAGGCACCCCTCAGAAATCACTAAAAAGAACATCTAGGGATGCCCAGCCGGCTCAGTCGGTAGAGCACGCGACTCTTGATCTCGGGTTTGTGAGTCCAAGCCCACGTAAGCCATGGAGCTGACATAAAAGTAGTAATAAAATAATAAAAGGAGCATCTCGTTGTTTGACAATATTGTTTGACCCGACCTTGATCCTGCCATGGTATGTTGACCACCTCATGTCTTGGCCTGTTAACATGCAGGTTTTTAGACTTGACCTCTCTGATGCCAGTTTTTTAGTTCTGTTCTTGAAGATTTTTGGACTCAAGGCTCGGGTTTCGGAAATAGCCTGTGTATTTTGTGCACTTGAGGGGAATTTTATAAAGAGGTTTCAGGTGTTGCCAGTTTTTCATTGATCATCTGGCAGCTCCAATCCACCGCTCTAGGCTGTGCTCTTTTCCTGAGAACGTGAGGCTCCGCTGAGGCAAAGCAAGCGTCTCCCCACCCCCCCTTCTGCCGGGGGAGGCAGCACTGGAGAGCAGAGGAGGCCCGACTGCCTCCGGACTGGCTCGCCCTTCCGTCCCGGACGCTATGGCAGCCCACAGTTCCCCTCAGCCCTTCCAGAAGAAGCGTCCTGGGAGGTGCCCCTGCCTCAGTAGGCCCCCGGCTACAGCCCTGGCCCCAGCAGCAGCCTGGCAGCAAGCGCTCCCTCCTGCACAGGTGTCCCCGTGCATCAACGCGTTCCCTTTGCAGACGAGTTACTGGGATCCACGCTCTCACTGGCTATGTGTGAAAATACTTCTAGAAAGCTCTCTCCCATGATTGTTAATGAACTCTCCATTGTCTTTTCCAGAATTTTGCATTTAATTTTTAAATTCAGTGCTTCCCACAGGCCTGTAGAAATTGAGTGGTCACCGCAGAGCCTGTAGGGCCCACAAAGCTGAAAATCTACGTGTTATCAGGTCCCTTTACAGATCAAGTTGGCCACACCTGGTCTGGACTTCCAGATACAGGACAGCTGAGGCTGCCCAGTTTGTACATTCTCAGAGTTACTTTTCAGTGGCTGTTAAGGTCCATTTCAACACTCAGAAGGCCTTTAGGAGGCATTTTCTTTTTAATGGATTGTATTTGTCAAAGGTCATCTTTGCTATGCCTTTTTAAGAAATTTGCTCTTGGATTTATAGTGATACATTCTTGTTTTCTAATATGTTTACTTTTATTTTCTTCTAATTACTTAGTCTTTAAAAAATCATTTTCTAAAAATGTTAGGGTTATTATTCAAACAACCCACCTCCATTTCTTTTAAAACCAGAATACTACCGTGTCCGGCCTCTAAAATAACACCGAGTTAAAAACTAAAAGGCACTGACACATCAAAGCACAATTAAAAGGAGGGGGACGAGATCGGGCGCGTTCAGGGTGGTATGGCCGTAGACTTAAAAGGAGGGGAAAAATCATCCCCGTCCCACCACCATAGCTGCTTGCCATAACCATGTTGGAGATTTTTTCCTTCTCGTCTCTTCTTTGAGGCACACATATTTCTAGGGACGCCACTCTTCCCTCTAAGATTTAAATTCAATTTGCCTGAGCCCCTTTTCCACACTCCATGGGGAATCTAATCCCCTGCTCCAGGTCTCTGTGACGCCAAGGGGACTTTTGTTTTCGTGTCCGTATCTATGTCTTCTCTTCTCTCACTGCCTTCCTCTCTTTTTTTTTAAAGATTATATTTATTTATTTGACAGAGAGAGAGAGATCACAAGTAGGCAGAGAGGCAGGCGGTGGGGGGGGGGGGAGCAGATTCCCTGCTGAGCAGGGAGCCTGATGCGGGGCTCGATCCCACAACCCTGAGATCACGACCTGAGCCAGAGGCAGAGGCTTAACCCACTGAGCCACCCAGGTGCCCCTGCCTTCCTCTCCTTAACCAGCTTCCCCCACCCCCCGGAGTTGTGATCCACGTGAATCCTTTTATCACTAGTCAATCAAAATCACCTCTCATCAGCAGACAGGGATTCAACAACTATGTTTTGTGTTTCCGTGAAGCCTTTCTTTCTCCTGACCTGTGTTCTTTTTTTTTTTTTTTAAAGATTTTTATTTGTTTATTTGACAGATCACAAGTAGGCGAGAGGCAGGCAGAGAGAGAGAGAAGGAGGAGGAGGCAGGCTCCCTGCTGAGCAGACAGCCCGATGCGGGGCTCGATCCCAGGTCCCTGGGATCATGACCTGAGCCAAAGGCAGAGGCTTTAACCACTGAGCCACCCAGGCGCCCCACCTGACCTGTGTTCTAATAAGATAAGCAGGATGGGGGAAAAATGCTTTCTTCAAAGATGAGATTCTGAAACCCCGACACTGAGTTGGTAGATTTTAAAAGATCTTTCCAGGATTTAGAGTATGATTGTATTTTGTGTCTTGTGCTGTTGCCAGATGATTTTGCTCTTTCTTAAACAATTCTCTATGTCTTACGTCTTACCTATAGTTTAGTAGAAGCGTTTCTCATCTAGCCTGCTCCCACTGCCATCTGAACAGAATGGTGTTTCTTGCTGTTAAGTTATAAAAGAAGGTGATGGGGTTGGCTTGTTTTAGAACTGTTTTTAAATATCTTAAAGTTTTGAAATACTAAATGGGACATCAAAACCTTAAGTTGAGTTCATTTATTGCTGCATAATGACAAAGCTTGGTAGTTTAAGACAATTCCTTCTCACTGCCTTGTTGGTCGTCTAGGCTGAGCTAGGCAATTCTGCTCCATGAGGGGGCAGCCCTTCTGTGGTTGCATTCAGCTGGGAGCTCATCTGGGGTGCGAACATCCAAGATGGCTCCACTCATGACTGGCACCGTGGCTGGGGCACCTGCTATGTCGGGGACTGGCAGGGCCCCTCTTTTTAGCAGAGGAGACAGACTTTCAACATGGCGACTTAGAGCATGGAAAGCAAAGTAAAAGCCTCCAGGCATCTTTTGTCATACTGTGCTATGGGTGGGGGGGACAAACTCTACGTCTTGATGGAGAGAGAAGAATGCAACATGGTGAGGGGAAGACCATTTGGCAGCCACATTCGAGGAGAATCTACCAAAACCTAATGTAAATCCCATCAATTACATTCAGGAAAACAACATACTCGATATTGAAAATCTACCTATCTGCTATTTATTGTGCCATGGGACAATGAGGATAAATAATTAAATGCCTAGCGCATTGATTGGTAAACGACCAGATAATAAATAATGTAGGCTTTGTGCGCCAGGCAGTCTCTTTTGCAACCCAACCTCTGCCATTATGGTGTGGAAGCTGCCACAGAAGATGTATTAGAAAATAGGCAGGGCTGGCTTAGTGGGTAGGATTTGTTCTGTGGGCTGTACTTTGCTGCCCGTTTTTCTAGAGAAATAGTGCTTCGCCTGCATTCTACAGGAATTTAAAAATTATCCTGTAGGAAGGAGATTTCCGATTCTAACAATACCCACAAAAACTATCTGAAACCGTGTAAAGTTACTATGATGATCAACCTACTGTGAGCTTGTACGTGTTATTTTGGCGTCAACATCACGCCATGCTAATAGCGTTAAGTACCGTGTGTGGACCCGTTTATAACTTGAGAGCGATACATGGCAGCACATCCTTTTTCCTTACTTGATTACCATTGCCTTTTAGATTCTGTAAAATCCCTCAGTATCCTCAGAGAAAGGATATTCGATCATGTGAAATCCTGTTTGGTAAGCAAAAGGCAAACAGTGGGATAGTTGCTGTCTTCAAAATACATTTACTAGCTTTATGTTGGCAGGACACTGAATATTTGAGTTCTTGGGTTCTTTGTGATGAAGCAAAAGACAAGGCAAGTTGTGATTTCAAAACGCTCCTGACCGTTTTTGTAGGGAGCGATTTTTTTTGACTTCTGCACTTT